GGGAAGGGCTGCTGCAGAGGTGGCCCTCCCTCCCGCTGCCTGTGGTACAGCTGTGGTAGGCACTGTTCCTGCAGAACACTTGCTTCTCCTGTGATGTTGGTCTTGAGAATTCTTCTCAGTGCTGGCTCCCCCCTGTGCACAGAGGAGATAGGTGGGGACTGAGATTCACAGGACAGTCGCCCAGCCATGTGGCACATCGCTTCATTTTCTGCAGCTCCTAGAGAACGTTGGAGCTGGGCATGGCCTTTCAACATCATGAAGTCTGCTCCTCTGCAGACTAGACCTACCTCTACTAGTTCTGTTAATGTAACACCTTGCCCCTCCAAGACAGAAAAGCCCGGTATGTATCCACCCATAAAACCACGAAGGGGAGCGGGGCATGCCGATGCAGCAACACGATCGCCGTGCCTTGTCCTGGGCTAGGCAGGGGTCTCCAGAATTTCTGTTCCTTTGTGTCAGTCAGCTTTCTTGTGGGTCAGACACAAACCCTGCCACCCACAACTTAGAGAAGTTTTTGGCTCACGATTTGCAGTGGATTCAGTCCAGAGTTTGCAGATTTCAAGGCAGAAATGTATAGCGGTAGGAAAAGGTGGAGGTGAGGTGACTGTCAAATGGCAGTCAGAACGGAGAGAGAAGGAGAGTGCTAGCGATGAGAAGACACTCTTCTGGGTCAGATCCCCAGTCCCTGCCCCTCGCAGCCAGGCCTCATCTTTGAAGTAAGACTTTTAGGGGACATTTCAGATGGAAACCATAACATGCTGGAAAACCTACTCAGACTGGGCTCCCTTCTACTTGTACTGTTCCATAGTTCTGAATATTATTCTGGACTGCGAGTGGGACAGTGTGTGTAGGGGAGCACCCTGCAGGCTGAGCTTGGAGGCCCGAGAGAAGCACAGGCATCAGGGTTTCTGTGGACCTTCACCCTGCCCAGTGGTTTCTGAGACACTGGCCTTTGAGCAGTGGAGACCGAGGGGACTAGCACTAGAACCTCCAGAAACCCGTCCTCTGGAGAAGTTGCCGCGTGTTATTCTAAAGCTAATGATGCAGTAATGAACACCAAGAGCCGCCTGGCACATTTACAATGCCCTCGACGAGTCCGAGACTTGAGGAATGAGTGAGTAGGGTGCTCACCAGCAGAGCAGAGCCGAAGTCTGTGAGAGCAATCAAGCAGCCGTGTATATGGTGAAATGCAGCAAATAGATGATTTTAATTGCTAATTGTTCTTGAGACCCTACCAAGATATTTTTTAAAATGTGGCCTAAATGTTCTCCTCGACAGGCGCCGTGAAGGAATTACAGTTAATTCAGAGGCTGACACGCTGCTGATTGAAATACAAAGAGGAGTAATCAAGGTGGTTGTTTTTTTTTCATATGGCTTTTAACATTTACAAAGAAAATGATTTCAAGGGTACACACTAGAAAGAAACAAATCTGTAAACAGTTCCCAATCAGCCAAATACTCCTATTACTAGGAATATTCCCTGCACCCTCATCTCTTACCAGCCCTCGAACCCCATAATCAGCATCTAAATGCAACATGAATTATTCTTTTGTTCTTGACTCTGACGGGAGGGTATGAAGGGTCAGATTTAAGGGCATCTTGCACTCTGAGACCCCAGACTCAGGACACAAATCGATCACCATCACACAGCAGCAGGGAGGTAGCCTCAAGATGTGGCTCCACTTAGATGAAGTGAACACAGACAGGATGCTGGGGCCTGCCTGGACCCAGCCCTCAGCTGGGACCCACGATGAAGCTCATTTCTACCGCTGGATGCTGGGCACTCAGTCAGCGCATTTCAATATGGGTGCAATCCAGTGGGAGCAAGGAGCAAGCCAAGTACAGCAAGCATGTCTGTGTGCCACCCACTTCACAGAAGTTCTCACTCACTCGGATCTTGAAAACAGGGCCTTGGAGTCCAGTCCTGAAGTCAAAGTTGTGTTTCAAGTTACCTTGCAATGTTACCTTAGGAAAGGGCCGGGGATATAGCTCAGCAGCACAGTGCCTGCCTGGCAAGCACAGGGTCCTGAGTTTGATTCCTGGTACCAAAAAAAAAAAAAAAAAGGAGGTGAGGGCTGGGGTTTAGCTTAGTGACACAGCAAGTACTTAGCATCTATGAGGTGTACTGGTTCAATTCCCAGTAAACTACTCCTTTCCCCAAGAAAGGAAAGTAGATATTTCATTTAAAAGAAAATGGAGAGAATTATTCACCAGCAAATTGACACTCTAAGAAATGCTGAAGAAATTTATTCAGAGGAAAACTGATGCCAGTCAGAAACTCAAGAGTCTCAGAAAACAGTGAAAAGCACTAAGAATAGAAGTACTTGGATAAATGCAAAATACACGTTTTTTGCCTTTCCCTTTAAATAGTTTCATAAATAACCTAATTGTTTAAAAATTGTAATATAGTCTTGTGGGTATAAACAGAAATTTGAGGTTTCTATATTTTATGTGAAATAGGGCATAACTCACTGTAAGCACTCAATGAAAAGTCAAAGAATGGGCAGTGCCCCTTTTGGTACTTGCTTTGATGTGGTTGTTGGTTTAATAATTGGCGCTTGCATCTGTCTCTGTCTATCTGTCTGTCTGTCTGTCTATCTATCTAGCTATATAATCTATCTATCTGTATCTATATATTTATTTATATCTATATATATCTATATCTATAGATATATTTATATATCTATAGATAGATAGATATCAAACAATAGTCCCAAAGGCAACCACATCAATGTTTGCACTAAATGTTGATAAACTGAGCAGTTCAGTTAAATTAGGCAGAGATTGGCAAAATAGATTATAAGATAAAATGGAACCCAACTGTAATGTGTACAAGAGGTAGACAACAAAGATACAAATAGACATAGGCTGAAAGAAAATGACTCCAAACAAAATGTACTCTTACACTACACTTTTAAATGGTGAATTTTAGGCTATGTGAACTACAGCTGAATAAGAAGATATGTCACTAGAATACTGCATTAGTATTTCATAAGAATAAAAATCTCAGTGTGACTAAAGATACAGCAATCACAACTTGTATGTGTCCAAACATGAAGCAAAGCTCTGACAAAATGAAAGGAAAAAAAATGGGACAACTCTACAAAAATCTCTGGAAAGTGGAACATTTCTACTCCGGAACTGATCAAACAATTAGATAAAAAGAACAATTAAGGCACAGAAGTCCTGACCAATTTGGCTTGATAGTTATAGAATCCCCTATCAAGAATGGTGGAATACACATTACTTACAAGAGTGCCCAGGCATGGTGGTGCACCCGTGTAATCTCAACACTTGGGAGGCTGAAGCAGGAGGATCACCATGAGTTCAAGGCCACCCTCAACTACCTAGCAAGACCCTGTCTCAAAAGCAAAGCAAAGTAAAAAGTAAAACAAAACAAAACAAACACAGAGTACCTGTTATATTTATAAGGATAGACCACATGTACTGACCATAAAACCTGTCTCAATAAATTTCAGAAGTCTGAAATCATATAGGCAATGTGCTCAGACACAGAGGGATTAAATTAGAAACCAAGTACAAAGAGAAAACCAGGAAGATTCCAAATATTTGGAATTTGGTACACTTCTAAGTAATTATTGGGCATGCAGAGACTGGTAGTTTCCAGATAAGAAGATGGCAGTGGAGTTCACACAACTTATCACAGGGGCCCTTCCTGTCCTTAATTTTTTTCCCCTCTTCTTGCTCTTGATTCTATTTTTTCTGTCTTAATCAGTCCTCTATAAAACCAGTAGCCGGGCACAGGAGGGTGGGTAATTACAGTGGTGTTGTAGCCCACAGTGTCACTACTGCTTTGTAACTAATCTCCATAAAACTCAGTTTCTTGCCAAGCTGGACTTACCCAAGTCATTGTTTGGGTCTCTAGGAAATTCACAAAACAGACATATCAACAGAACAGAGCCTAGAAATAGACTGCTATGTACAAGGAAATTGATTTTCGATGAAAATGCCAAGGAAATGCAAGAAAGTCCTCAACAACGGTGCTGGGACAATAGGCTGCTATCTGTAGGAAGAAAAAAAATTAAAACTAAATTATATGCCCAGGAAAAATCCTCTTCAAGAATGAAAAGAGGGGGGTCTGGGAGATGGCTCAGTAGAGTAAGCACTTGCCTGGCAAGCACAAGAGCCTGAGTTCAATCCCCAGGTCCACCAACACATGTACACACACACACACACACACACACACACACACACAGTACTTAATCATAAATAAAAAAGTAAATCATCAATAAGAAACAGGAACTACAAGGAAAAAAACTTAAAAAGCTATTCAGATAGAAAAAAAATAACCTATAGGAGGCATGAAATTGCAGGAACACGGCATGCTGTGCCAGTCACGCTGCATACCTATAATCCCAGTGCTTGGGAAGCTGAAAACAGGAGGACCACTAGAGTGTGGTGTGTGGTGAGACCCTGTACCAGATACATAAAAAAAAGAAAAGAAATTGCAGGAACAAAAGAGGGACCAAATGGGCAGACAAGTTGGTAAATAAAAGTTAGCATCAACTCTATGTTATTAACAATAATTTGAAGGCTTAAAACGTGTGAGATCACATATACGATAAATTAACAAAAAACAAGAGGGAAGGTTAATGAGTGCATCTTCTAAGGTTACATCTTTGGAGAAACCAAAAGGCAGTCAGGATTTTCACATGACAGTGACAAGGTAAGGATGCATGATGGGTTTTCCAGGAAAGCCACAAAAGAGAAAGACTAAAGAAGTGGTGAGTCCCTAAGGAGAAAAGAAAAAAAGAAAAAAAAACCTGTTTACTCTCTGCCCATAAAGTTGCAAGAAAATGGTTTAAATTCCATTGGTAACAAAGTATTCAAGGCTCAATTTATAAAGTGCTAGAGTTACCGTCCCTCTTGGCATAATCAGATGGCCACTACTATGCTATCTGATTCTTTTTGTTGTTTTCACTTCCAGTCATGTTTATAAAAGAACAAATTCATAGATTTAGGCAAAAAGGAAACATTAATTTCAGTAAATATTTTATTTGACCATTTTAAAGTTTACATTTGTAGCCAGAAGGCATAAGGGTGAACATTTCATTGTAATCAACAAAATCTTAACAAACTCACACTAAGGCTGATTTGTGGGTAGTAAGGCTGACAGCAGAATGTTTGAGACATCAAACGTTTGGCAAATACATCACACAGCTCACCATCACCATGCGCACTTCATGCAGCACGGCTCCTGCCCATACCTACTCTGCAGTGCTGGATTACTCAGGGCTGCTGTGTCTGTGCTGGCATCTCTGCATTTCTGCAGGACTCAGCTAAAGCGACAAGCACAGGGACACCTGTAGGAACTCCCTGGCTCCTACCTAGCAGCCCCTGATGTCCCACAAGGGCTCCCGCCCTGTTGTCCATCCCATACCTTTGGAAGGCAGATGGGGGTACCCAAGCAGGAGTCAGGCCAGACTACAGGGAAGAGTAAGAGAGGCCTTGACTTGCGTCGGGCCAGCAGCGAACAGCAAACAGGACAAGTCATCCATCTAAATTATGAAAATCAAGGCTACGCATGAAGGACAGGCCTGGGAGAGGCTCCCAGGAAGGGTCACCGTTTGTTCGGCTTGAACTTCAGGGCCACGCTGTTGATACAAAACCTCTGACCGTGAGGCCCGGGTCCATCAGGAAACACGTGGCCAAGATGAGCTTCACACTGCCGGAGAAAAGCATCCGTCAGCCTCTGGGAATGAGATCTCTGTGTAAGGCCAGACAGACAGCCCTGCATGGCCAACCCACTCCAGAGTTTAACGTCCATGTGGGATAAAACAGGCATTTGTACCAGAATTTAATGAAGAACACAGAATAAAGTAATGACGAACAGCTCTCTGTTCCCAGTGAGAAAATCAACACAGCATTAAATTTCAGCCTTGATTTACTCATCTCTAACATGGGGACAATATTTACATTAGAGAGCTGCTGCAATGATTAATTGGCACAATGTAAGTGAAACATAACACAATCCCTGAAAGGTACTCAATAATGTTGTAGACAGTGTATTATTGGATTATTGTTCACTAAAGGCAAAAGGATGACACTCCAGCAGCTTGCCTCTGTTGCTCCTGAAACTGATGTATCAGAACATGTGAGCACCCAGAGATGCGAAAAAAAAAAGCACCTTCAGGATGTGACACGCTCCCCACCACCAGTCCCACAGGAGCCACGTGCTGCTGTGCCCCGAGTTATCACCCTGCCCAAGGTAACACGGAGCCTCGGGAAGAAGGCGGAGATGCGCCTACACAGGACCTTCCTGTGCCCATCCCTGCTCAGCAGCGTGCGTGAGGCAGTTCTTCCTTTCCTCCAGTCCCTACCTTGCTCCATCTCAGGGAGGTAAGAGCCAGGAAAGGCACTTCAGAGCATGGCCCAGACAGCCTTTTATCTGCAGCACCCAGCATAAGGGCAGAGAGTGATCGTTATGGGCATGAGCAGAAACCCAATGTGCTTCGAGGACAAGTGCCTCGTGGAAAAGCAGCAGCTAGGCTAAGGACTTGGTGCAGCACCCCAGAAAACAAGCCAAAGCAAAACATCCCACCTGCTTGCACACAACCTCTGTGCGAGTTGACCCTAATGAGGTGTCCAGACGTCTCAGGATCCCTGTGTGACTTTCATCTGAGCCCGATGTACCATGAGCCTCAGAAAACGAAGGCCATCCGGTGCCAGAGCAGAACTTCTTCTCTGAGCTGTGGAAGGCAGCAGTTACTGACACAGCATGAGTGTATAATGCCCTGCTTTGCTGCAGGTAGCAGGACCTGCTTTCAGCTTTTGCTCTGCCCAGGGTCCCAACTCTGCTACATGAAAGATCAGTGCCACAGAGTGGTCCCACTGCACCTTCACTAAGAAAGTCACTGACCAGCCACAGTGAAAGGATGTCTTGTTCCTTTGATGTTTTTGGCTTCATTCTCCTTGTCTGATCTAAAGGACCTAAAAACACTAGGAGCTTTGTGCACTGTGTTGCATATTGGGAACCACAGATCAAACCCATGTGTTCCAAATGCAGAGAAGGGAAAAATCAAAAGGAAAGTAACAGTGGTTAAGGGAGGTTGGCATGATCTTGGCACAGCAAGAGAAATGTCACATCTGATAAAACACCCCTTTCGCATCAGGAATTTGTGATTATTTAAATGCAAGAGCCTAATGGCCTATGGGGATTCAAAGTTATTCCTGTCACTTGTTTGCAATGTGAAATTAGACTTGGCTTTCTTACTTGTAAAATGGGGACAATAATATCTCCCCTATAGGGATATTTCCAGGACCTGGGGGTGCTTGGTGGAGTGGAGTGTGGTATAAAGCTGAGTGTAGTGGTGGCACATGGTAATGCTCATGAATAGCCCCTGTGATTATTAATAAGTGAACCTGGGTACCCCGTGTCAGTCACTACAGTCAAACTTGATCACCCATGGAAGTTTCCAAGGGCCCAGAGTTGGTTTGACCTGCAATGTCACTCACCAGCTCCCCAAGCCAGCATCACTCAGAAGTGGTGCCCTGGGCAACTGGGTCATGAGGGCTCTAGCTTCACTGATGGGTTCATCCACTGATAAATCCATAGCTCTATGGGCTAAGAAAGCAGTGGGCAGTAGGAGGTGGACCCAGCTGAAGGAAAGAGATCCAGGGTGTGGCCCTGAAGGGTAAACTTTGTCCCTAAGCCCCATTCTCATTCTCTCTCTCTCTCTCTCTCTCTCTCTCTCTCTGCTTCTGAGCCTAATGAATTGAGCAGCCTGGCTCCACCACAGCTCCCTGCCATGACTTTCTGCTGCCTCAACTCAGGCTTAGAAGCCACAGAGCTCTGTTCAAGATAAATCTTTCCTGCTTATAAGATGTTTGTCTCAGGTATCTTATCATAGCAATGGAAAGCTGACTAACACAAATGCTGAAGCCTGGAGCAGGACACAGTAGCTGACAAGAAGAAGGGGGAGAGTAACAGGCAACCAAAGCCCCATTCTAGGGCTGAGGATGTGGCCCATTACCACAGTACTTGCCTGGTATGCAAAGGGCTGGACATGGGGGTCCATTCTTAGCACTACATACACCACAAAAATATTTAAAGAAAGCCCCCATTCTCTAAGAGCTCAAATAGATAAGCTCTGTAAATGGCACTAGAGAAATAGATTTTTAAAAGTTTAAGATGGCAGAGAGATGGCTCTTTCTATCTAAGTAAGAAATAATTGAAAGTTAAACCCTGAAGAAACTGAACAAACAAGAAAAGGGTGGCAAATAATTGAATCCCTAGATGCTGAAATCAGAAAGAAGCTCAGCTGGGAGTACCAACTCCCCCAGGAAAAGGACAGCAGGATAGCAGTTTGGTCCCCTCAAAATTATTACAGGTCTCAGAGAGCTCCTGCTTACAGAAGCTAAATTTGTCAGTACTTAGCAAATTAAAAATTATAACTGGGAGCTTAAACTTACAGTGATTAAAAATAATAAATGCATGACATATTCACACTATGCTTTTATGACAATATTTTCCAAAATGAAACAGACACCAAGAAGGGTTGCCCTAATTTATAACCCTGTAGATCTTTTAATTAGCTTGAAAAGACAACTGACAAGTTGTCAACTGACAAGAAGAACCCCCATGCCCAGCCCTTTGCATACCAGGAAAGTACTGTGGTAATGGGCCACATCCTCAGCCCTAGAATGGGGCTTTGGTTGCCTGTTACTCTCCCCTTCTTCTTGTCAGCTTTTTTTTATGTACCTATGCAGTCCCTGTTGCAGTGCTGCTGTGACTAAATTTCAGAAAGAGGCTAGGGCTCAGTGGGAAAGTACTTCCCTAGCATATCCAAGGCCCTCAGTCCCAGTCCCAGCACCAAAAGTAAAAGGATGCGACTTCATATGAATGGATATATGCTGGAACAAGAAGTCTCTGGAACATCCCCTAGAGAGGTCCCAGGAATCCTCAGGGATGCTCTTTGATAACCACAGCTGTGTTTTTTAGGAGTGAGGACTATTTCCAAAAGACTTGGAAGGAAATGCAGTCTGTTACATGCATCTGTGTGTCCCTGGGAAGTAATGTGACCTGCTGAAGCCTCAGTGTCCCAACAGCCATGGCTTGACTGACTCTCATGATTGCTGAGAAGATGTGCTGTGACCTTTCTGGCATTTGGTGTTTTGAGGATAGTGTCTGATACATGGCACATAAAAAATCCATAGCTATTATTTTAATATGATTTTAAAAATAACACATGTACATGAAATTTGATCCATCATGAGCCCGACTAGAAGAGTCTGCACATTTGGGTTGGGTTCTTTGCAAGCATTTTTCAAGCGTTCAAGAATAACTGGCCTGAGGTTTGGGGCATATCTCAATGGAAGACCACTCTCGTAGTTCACATGAGACCCTGGGTTCAATGACTAGCACGCAATAGTGAAGAGATAAACAAACAAACAAAAATATTCACTCGGCCACTGTTTCTCAGGGAAGACCCTCATAAGCATCTTGTAACCACATCCTTAACATTATATAAGTAATTGATCATTAAAGGCATTTTGACAAAGAATTCAGAATATAATAAAGTTTTTTAAATGAATGAATCTAAGACTAATACAAAGTCACCAAAGCATTTTATGAAAAACAGTAAACCTTTACTAATGCAATTAGCAGAATCTGGAGATTTTACCAAGTAAAATGACAGTCCTAATCCACAGCATTTAAAATTGAAAACCTAAATACTAAAGCCAATTAGAGATTCCAATATACATATTTAAATGATTAGCAGATAATAAGCCTTACCTTTGAAAGATTAAAACCATTGTGGAGCATATAGTCCAAGAGGTTTTTCTTTTGCTTAGTTTTCTGTTCATCTGACTTGCTGTTCTTTCTTTCTGGGTTTTCCATGGTCCCCAGAGCAACAGCAGAGGCATGTGGTAGTTGCTAACAATACTAACCCTCACCCGTGAGAATTACCATTCCTTTGAGATGTTTTTAAACAATATTATTCAGTTCCTTGGGACAGGCAGGACACCAGGATGTAAAAAGTGAACTTGTATTGGGTGTTTCCTTGCATGTTCAGATTTATGTTATGATTAGATCTAAAATGTCCCCCCAGAATCATGCACTCAGGCGAGGCTTCTGAAAGGCAACAAGATCATGAGGCTACCATCAATGAGTTCAGAGCTAAATGTGCTTAAGAGCTGGGGCCCCAGTGGAGGAAGGAGCCCACTGAGGGCATGTCTTGCAAGGGTATATTAGCTGGATAAGGTGACACACACCTGTCATCCCAGCACTGAGGGAAGATGAGGCAGAGGGACCGTAAGCTCAGTCTTGACTGGGAAACTCAGCAGAACCCTGTCACATACATCCATACACACATACATACAGTTGGAGATGGAGCTAAGTGATACAGTGATCCTGATTCCATCCCTAGTATTGAAAACAAAGATGAGGAAGACAAACAAGAGGAAGAAGAGGAGGAGAAAAAGGAGGAGGAGGAAGAGGGTATCGCATATCCTGTTCCCAGACGCATCTCTCTCTGGTCTGCCTTGCTTGCTGTGCTTCCTGGCCACTATGAGACAAACAGCTCTGCACTGCCAGGCCATGCTGCCATGCCATTTCTGCCTTGGGGCCTGCCAGCTGTGGACTAAAGCCTGAGCCAAAATAAACCTTTCTCCCTTAAGTTGTGACTATCAGGTACTTAGTCACAGTGACAGAAAGCTAATGTAATTTATAACCACAAAATATGTGATTTCACAACACATCTTACTAAACCTCTCCAGAACCAGTGGGAGGAGGAACAGGGAGACTGAGAAGGCAGGACAGGCAGCAATGCCGTCTAATTCTTAGAGTAGCAAGGTAATCTGGAATCCCTGGGGAACATGCTGACATCCTGGAAAGTGCTCTTGACCCTAAAGTCCTTGCCTCAAGGGCTCTCACCAAGACAGGCAGCCAATGCCCAAGAGTGTACACTACAGCTGGGCAGTGTAGCATGCTGGGAGCTACACTCACACAGGAAGCTCGCAAGTGCGAGTCCAACCTGGGCAACTCATTGAGACCCTGACTCAAAATAAAATTTAAAAGAAGAGCTGGGAATGCAGCTTAGTGCAAAGGCCCTGGGTTCAATCTCCACCACACACACACACACACACACACACACACACACACACACACACACTATTCATGCCAGTGACGATACAGTCAAGGGAAATATGGTAAGTCTGATAGATGTGGTGGGGAATGAGGTTCTCGAAAGGGAGCTTGCTGGCCAGGCTGGCTGGCCATGTCCCAGAGGCTGGGTCTGTCTTCCCCAGGACCTATGCCTGCAATCCAGAAAGCTGGCACTGCAGAGTTAGTGCGCCCGATTACAGGGCCCTGCCAAAGTGGCTTACGGAAACTCAGATCCTGCACTTCCGAGACCCAGAGCCTCATATACTTGAGTGGCAGCTGCAGAACCCTACACAAGCTATTTAATCTTCCCAAGACTCAGTTTCCCTGTGGGAAATGAGAATAACAGCACTGCAGAGAGCTGCTGAGGGTCTGATGAAAGGGTGAAGAACACAGTTCCTGGTTGATCCCCAGAAGGGTCATTCACTGCTGGGGCGCGTCCGTCCTTGAGGAAGTGTACTGTACAGGCCCCTGCGGAACACGAATCCAGCACTGTCCCTTACCAGATGAGACTGCTGCAGTACAAACGTGAGGCTTTAAGGCATGAAGCATCTAGGGCTTTCGGAGGGAATAATGCAGTTCTCCCAGGACTGGATGAGTTACCACAAAAGCAGAGTGCTATAAAGCAAGGCTGCTCTTCATGGCTTGTCTCTTGCACATAGGCATTTGCCCTCGCTAGAAGTCAGGCAGATACTGGCAGCATGGATTCAGACTCTCAGCCTCCTAAGCCATGAGCCCAAATCAACTTCTATTCTTTCAGAATCACCTACTACCTGCTTCTGTTAAGCAACAGAAAACAGACTCAAGACCGTGCCTTTGAAAAAGTTACTTAAAAGATTGGAAGCACCAACTTTCACATCTATTCAGTGGAGAGGAAGGATTATTTGCAAGGTCCCGAGCCCAGTGCTTATGATAAATGCTTGAGAAGTTGTGGTGGCTTGGCCTCCACTCTGACTTCACAACTGTGTCATAGCTGATGCGACAGCCGCTGAGCAGGAGGGCAGACGTTACTAATCCATCAGCTAGGAAGTCTGCACCGAGCACCTCCACAATAGTTGCCCAGGGTGGCTGTGGCATTTTACCACAGGGTGGCTGGGATGCTCTCATACTTCTGGAGGCTTTTGTAGTCCAAAATCAAGGCTTCAATGGGCCATACCTCCTCCCTCTGATGACCTCGGGAAACCCTGCAGGCCACCTCCTAGCTTCTAGATGGAACCCAGTCCTCCATATTCATGTGGCATTCCCTTTGTGTCTGTTATTCTTCTCTTCTTCTAAAGACAACCACTTAGATACTACTAGTATTTTCATTTTACATGGAAGGAAATCTAGTCACATAGGGGTTAAGAGAATTTCTTAAGACCACACTGCATTGGAACCAGGACATATACACAGACAGCTTTTCCCTACTCTACTGTAAATGAATGCATCTTTAAGAAGAGTAGATTCTTAGCTGGAAATGGTGGTACACACCTACAAGCCCAATACTCTGGGAGGCTGAAGCAAGAGGATCATGAGTTCAAGCTCAGACTGAGGAACTTAGACCATCATAAAATTAAAAAAAAAAAAAAAGGGGCCGGCAAGATAGCTCAGTGGACTAAGCACCTGCTTAGGCAAGTGCAGGGACTGAAGTTTGATCCTCAGCACCACATGCCATGCTGGTCCCACCCCCAGACACACTGAACTGGCCACTGAAACTGGGTGTGGTGGCACACACCTGTAATCCCAGCACTGAGGAGGCTGAAAACAGGAGGATCATTATGAGTCTGAGCCATGTAGTGAGACCCTGTACCAAATACATTAAAAAATAAATTAATTAATTAAAAAGGGCTGGAGAGGATCTCAGTGTGAAGGCTCTGGGTTCAACTCCTTATACTGAAAAGCAAAGTATATTCCACAGATCCTGGAGCATAAATGGTTCTCCTGAATGGCTACATTTGGTTCTTAAGTATCTCCTGGAGGCCTATGTTCTAAAGGTGTGGCCCCCAGCTTGGCACTATTGAAAGGTGGAGCCTTGCTGGAGGGGTGTAGATCGCTGGGAGCAGGCCCTGCTGGCTAGGCTGGGTGGACCTCCCCATGCGCTCTAGTCACGATGTGCTACAGCAACAGAGGACCAAGCCATCATGGGCCTGACACTGTAACCCAAACCTTTTCTCTTTATAAGGTGAGTATACCAGGTATTTGTTATAGTAATAGGACGCTTACAGCACTTGAGGATATACTCTTATTTCCCTCAGTTTTAGCTACAGCAGCAGCAGAAAAAAAATGGAACACAAACTCAAAAAGTGTTTTTTAAAAATTAAAACTTTCCAACTAAAATTAAGTGTTTTAAAAAACCCCATGGATTGTTATTTCCGTGAACTGGGCATGTGGTAAAACAGGCTTTTGAAGAACCAGCTGGTGCTCCTTTCAGTTTGGGCTGTTTTGCCACATCAGTGACCTAGAGTGCACCCCTTAACTTTCTTAATTTGAGCTAGCATCATGCTAACACAGGAGCCACCATCCACATAGTGATCTTCTAAATTTAAATTAAATAAAATGGAAATTTTTTCTTTTCAGCCACACCAGCCTGCTCTCCAAGGCTCTTGGGCACAAGTGAATAAGCGGCTGTCTTCACAGCCACAGCAGACACAGAGTATTGCCACCTATGCCCCAAGTCCTGTTAGACAGAGCTTTCCACTCTACGTTCGGGTTCCTTCCTGCTCCAATATTCCAGATGGCACTGAGCCTGCAGAGCAAGGTGACAAGGGAGGCCTGGGGTCATGACAATGCCTCCTCTTTGCAGAATGGGAAACTGGACCCAAGGAAGCTGCAGAACAAAGACTAACATCTGGAAGAGGACTCTCACACGGCTGCTAATCATATTTTCTTGTCATAGTCCAAATATAGGCCCAGAACATCTGTCGGATGACCAGGTAGTAACACTTCTATGAAAAGGTTCTTTAGCTGAAAGCAAGCTGGCCAACTTATTGTCCTACTTCTCCCCTTTCACAGAAGGAAAGGTCAAGGGATAAGTAATAACAGTATGCGCTTCACATTTATTGTTGTGATACTGTTAAGAACACATTTGGTGTCCTCCTATTTCCTGGCAAATACAACACCTAAAATCCTAGGAATCTTCAGAATGCTGTGTCTCTTCTATGCTGATGAGGTGACTGCTGGCTGGCAGCCCCTCAGTAGCTCCAGGATGGGGACTGTCACCAGAAAAAAGGAAAGGCAGATGGAGAAGTCTGGGACTTTCAGCCCAGAATTCTCCCAGGAAGGAAGAAGTGCTGAAGGTTAAATTGATCATCAATAGCCAGTGATTAGTTAACCAGGATTATGGATGAAGTTTCCATAAAAACTCAAAAGGACAGGGTCTACAGATCTTTTTTTAAAAAATCATTCATTCACTCCTTCCTTTCTTCCTTCCTTCCTTCCTTCCTTCCTTCCTTCCTTCCTTCCTTCCTTCCTTCCTTCCTTTATTTGGTATAGAGTCTCACTACCTAGCTTGGACTTGTAGTGATCCTCATGTCTCAGCCTCCCTGTATATACTGGAACATTGGAATTACAGGCATGTGCCACCACTTCTGGGATTCTAGGGTTGGCATGGCATGCAGTATCAGGAATTGAACCTGGGTGCTTGTGCTTGCCAGGCAGGCGCTTAGACTGCAGAGCTACTTCCCCAGCTCCAGAGAGCTTCATATGTATAACTGGGAGATGTCTCCAGAGAAAACATGAAAGTTCTTTGTCCTTCCCTCATACCTCATTGTATTCATCTTTTTATCTATAGCATTTGTAATATCTTTTACAATAGAACAGTAACAACAACAACAACAACAACAACAACAACAACAACAACAAAAAGCACAAAGCCCAGAACTCAGGGGGCTGAGGCAGGAGGACAGCTAAGAGTCCAAGGCCAACCTCAACTACATAGGGAGAACCACAAATAAATGTATATAAGATACAATTTAAACCAGTAAACATACGTGTTTCACTGAATCCCATAATCTGCTCAAGCAAAATAATTACACCCAAACAGATGAGTGTGAGAACCCCAATTTACAGCTGGTGGGTGAGAAATACCAATCTAAACCTGGAGCTTACGATAGGTATCTGGTGTACCCTGTATGGGGGCAGGGTGACATGTGGGGACTGAGCCCTCAGCCTGCAAGTCCTGAGACTACCTCCAGGTAGATGGTGTCTGAGCTGAACTGCGTTAGGACACCCAGGAGGTGCCCACCGCAGAAGCGACTGCTTGCTAGATGGAGGAGGACCCTCACAGCTGCTGAACTGGCAGAAGTCTCTTTGTTGACTGCTGCGGTGCCAATTTTTCTAACATCACACTGTAAAAATTAGCTTCTTTTTGGTTTTCCCCACAGCATCCCAGGTTGGCTGCCCTCCCTGATACCTCCTCAGCAGTCCCTGACAGTGCCCAGGCATCTGCACCAAGACCTGCTCCTGGGAGTATGAAGGAAAATCAATCCTAATCGCTCCTCAGCCTTACCGGTGCAGACTGGCTTCCCTAATGTAGTTCCCATTAGCAGCCGGCTGGCCAGAAAAGCCAGTCTGCTCAAAGCCCGAAGGACAGAAGGAACCACTGCCTAATGGAGGATTCGCAGAGCTGGCTTGATTTATATTTTATTCTAAACCAATTTAGGGTTGATGCAAAAGAAAGGAAAACATCTTTGAAGTTCTGAAAAACAGCACTTCAAAGATGTTTCTTTTCTTCTTCATTGAATCCACTTTTTTAAAAAGACTGTTTCCTGCATATCTAAACAAAAAAGCCTTTGTTGAGAGATTTTAGATCCCGATTGACTTAAAAGAGGCTTTGAAATCAAGGGACAATTAAATTTAGTTTAGCTACATGGAAGAGGGCATAGTCTTCACTACTGTCAAGCACTGTGTGGAATCTATCCTCGTAAAATTCTGCATTTCCTCAATTAAATTATAAATCCATTTTCCCTGAGAGAAGTATAGTGTAATCACATGGTCAAGCAAATCCTATTAGGGTTTACATTTCTTTAAATATTTTCCCTCTAAAAAATTCTAGTAGCTTTATTGTAAGATTCCTACCAAGATTTTATTTGTTTGATATTTCTTAAGGAAGACATAAAGGAACAATATGCTAAGAAAGCATGCTCACTGCTCCAAATGCCAGGACAAAAGTCAAGACAGACAGGTTTCTTTTCTGAACAGCTTTTCCAGCTGCTGCAATGCCAAATGAGAAAGACAACTCAGAACCAAGTAGGACTGGCGGTGCAGCTCAGGGGTGATGCAGATGTGTGCTTAAGGTCTTGTGTGCAACCCTCAGTGCCAAAGAAAGAGTACTTATTTGTAAGTTCAAGACTTCAGACGAGTTAGAGCTGGGTGAGTGGGGAGTGTCTCCTCCCAAAGGCGCCGACTCCTCATCTTACCTGAAGAGGGCGTTGTCACAACACACACAGTGATACATTCCAGACTCCTCATTGTTCAGGTAGATCCCACTGAAAGGCTGAAAATGAGGGAGATACATCAGGTGCTGATTTCCTACATAACCAGCAGGAGAAGGCACAGCAGATTTAAGCCCCAGAAGGACTCCTTGGTGGCAGAGTGCTTTCCTAGCATGTGCAAGGCCCAAGGTTCCGCCCCCAGCATGGCAAAACAAGAACAAACAAAACAACCGTGATAAGTCTTCAAATTAAGGAATTTCTGTACTAGTTTGACAAAGCAAAATACCACCAGAGACAAAAACTACAGTCATCCAATGAAGCAGACTGCAGACTTATTTATAGCCTGGCCTTTACTATGTCAAATATTCAAACTATGACAATAATAATGCTTTGTATTTCTATTCTACCTTTCATCCAAGAACATCAAAGTCTATGAAAAAGCAAGAGCACAGTGTCTTATCCTCTCAACTGAATAAAATTTCAGTCTCCCATTTCAAAAGAGTTAAGACAACAAAACCTAAGTACTTGTCTAAAATACTCTGAAATCGCCAATTAAATATGGAATATAAAGGGGCTGGGACGTAGCTTAGTAGGAGAGTGCTTGTCTAGCATGCTGAGGCCCTGGGTTCCACTCCTACAGAGAGGAATGACTAGGGATATGTGACAAGCCCAGCTTAGTGAGGCCAAGGCTGGCCCTTGCCAGCCTTCACGTGGTGCTGAGGTCACCTCTCATCACAAATGCTAAATGAGGAGCTAGGTTCTGCCGGTGCCTAGGTCACTACTCATCGAAAACGACCATGCTCTTGGTGTCTTCAAGAGTCTTCAGATTTTCCAAGGTGTTCTAGAGGGCCAGGAGGCAATGAGCAAGGCAAGTGAGTGATTCGTCTTAAACATTGCTCTAAACAGGATCACACTGAGTTTTGCCTTTTACAAAGGTCGTCTCTGCCCAATTCCTTTTACCATTTTCTCTGTCAAAGAAAATTTTGAACAAACAAAAGAAATCATACACATGTTGTGAAGATCTGCATCCCAGTGCCTGGTGGCAAAGGCTATCCAATTTCATGAGAAGGAGAAAAGGTAAGGCACTCCCCAGCTGACCACCCACTTGGGAAACAAGTGGGACCCTTCTGCTCTCTCCAAATGTTCCAAGTGAAAAACCTCTCAGGTCACTCCTCCAAATTCCCTGCAGTGGCACTAGCAGCATGGTTTCAGGACACCCCCTATATAATAGACACTTTCAAATTAACCTACTGAGCCCCCTGGATGGGACCTCCTGGATATTTTTCCTCTTTTAAAACCCTACATTTGGCAGCAGAAATCCTCAGATAATGAGGTCTTTCCTGACCCAGCCATTGAACTCCTCTTACCTACAGCAATGCTGGATGGTATCTATGACCAAAAGGAAGTTTTACATCCTTCGCCCTGGGCAAGGGACCTACTTGCCAAAGGTCTGCTTGCCCTAAGGCTGATCTAGAAAAGATTACTAATGGGAACCAGGCAGCATAATAAGTCAAAACCTACTTTCATCACTGCAGGGCATAGATGGGCACAAGTGACAGGGAACTACAAGGCATAGTAAGTAAAATAAAAATTAAAAATTAAAATAAAAAAGAATTCTTAGCCAATATCTTATGAATGGTATCTCCCCACTGCTTCTTGATATCCTCTTTCCTGTTCCTCCATTTCATACAAGTCTTACCACTTATTTAGGACCAAATTCAACTATCTCCCCTGTTTGCTCCAGTAGCTATTTATTTGCATTGTTGGGGATCAAAGCCAGGAACTCAAGCAAGTAGACAAGCTCTCTGTAACTCAGCTACACACACAGCCCTCATTCTAATATTTATAGACAATCTAGTATAGACTCAGTGCTGGGCTGGGTGTTGATGCCGTAGATGGGGGAAAAATTGAAACACACAGTTCCTATACTCAGACTCTACAAGGCTGGAAGAGATACATGAGCTGGCACTTATGGGGCATGCCCAGGACATTTGCCCATGGAGAGTTTCCATGAAGCTTTTCAGCACTAGACACTGTCTGAATTGAGTGAATCTTTTTTTTTTTCTTAACCTTTTAGTATTACATTACACAGCAGATTGGTGTTTGTTATAGAAAAATGTCAAAACACTAAGATGAATTTTGAAGGGTAAGAGGTGATCAAATGAAAAGAGGTAAGAATGTTTCAGGACAGTGGGCAAAATGGCCCAGAGGAGGTAGAAGGAAGAAAATTCTGCGCAAGCAGGAGAGGCGAGATCAGGCTGAGCTGTAAGCAGACCATGCCGAAGTGTGTACTGCTGGCCACGCTGGCCACGTGTACACGGTGCACATGATCAGCATTGGATTTTAGAATGGTCACTTGATGTCATGTCAAGAATGGAATGGAGCAGAGGTAAAAGACACTGAAGGCAAAGAATAATCAGGTGCCTTGTCATTCTGGTAGGGATGGGTGGTGGCCTGCTCTGCCTAGTAATCAGAAAGATAGAAGAGATTCAAGAATGATTTACAAGAGAGAACCGAAGGCGGCGACCTGGCGCGGCGGTCTGGGCGCCGGACCGCGGAGCACGAGGTCGCCGGTTCGCACCCCTGTCCCGACCCTGGGCCTAGTTCAGTCCTTTAAGTGGCTGCTTCCACAAAGCTGTCAGCCTCAGGTGGCTGGAGTTCGAACCTCACAACTCTCCCGCTGGCCAAAC